AATTAAGCTCAAAGTTTCATTGTTGAGTTTTGTGACGAAATCACCTCGTGTTACGTCACGGATCTCAACGCCTATTCTTTGTATTAAGTGACATTGGCTAATTGAAAAAAAAATTAAACTTGTTATGTTAAGTCTATGGCCCCCAGAGAAGACATTGCACATGTTTACTGTGCTGGGAAAAATGTATAACCGAGTAGTCACAGTCAAAATCTATGACGTCACGGCATTCGGTGCGGGAATTTTGTGGTAACGTTGCCACTCACAAGTCTTTTGCACGTTTTTTTTCGCTTTTCGGGAGTCTCCTCACGACTAGCATGGAGGTTTCGGAACTGTAGAAGAGTAATTTAGTCAAATAGGATGAAACATTTTTAGTGTCTCTTTAAGCAGATTTTTTTTTCCTCATAGTTACATTGAAAAGTTCATGCATAATGCACCCAATTTGATGAAGATCGCCGGACTCTCCAGTGTGCCTTAAATAGACTCGATGACTGGCCATTTAATGAAGCAAAGATCTTAGGAGCCTGGTCGCGCAGCACATCAGCACAGAAAGCCACACGAGCCCTCCTGAGATACTTGACAGCAACATCATTAAGGGACTGCCTGTGAAACTCGGCATTGTGTGTGTGATGTGACATGTGTCTATCATTCTCTCTCTGTTTTACTCTCCTCTCCCCCTCCCCATGTGTAGGGTAGCAAACTGGACGCATAGTCTAGTTAACCTCCCTACATTTCCTACATTTCTTCTTTCTCTCTCTCTCTCACCATAATGCAAAAATTATTCGCAACCTTTTCACAGTTTTCCTGAGTTCCCGAGAATAAATGAATCATATGGCAAGTCACAAGAGCTTTTCATTAAAGCTTCAAGAACTTGTTGGTCGAGTTTGTAGCTACTTTAAGGTAAAAAAATTAGTTCAATGCAAATAAATACAACCACCACATACACACATGCAGGCAACTGAAACGCATACGGTACACATATGGGTATGGGCGTTGATGTTAGCTCCTTATTCGCCCTTGATTATATTTTTGCCAGGCATAATAAACCCCACAACCAAAAAATTCCGCGAGGCTTTCAAGGCAGTACGTGCAGGGCATGTCGACAGTAGTGCACGGTTCGATCATCACGTTTTGAGGACACCATCGCGTCCTGAGGACACTGCACGTGTCACCGGCGCGATATCGTCCGGAAAAAAACTGGGTCCAAAGAGCAACGGACCACCGCGAAATCTTCTTTTGCGGTCGCTGTGCTACGTGTGCGATAATTTCTCACAGTGAGTGCTATCAAATTTTCCCAGTTGTTCGCCCTCACTATCAGTGTAATTCCCACGATGCTAGGTCCCGTTGCTTCGGACGTTAGATATTCCTGCTTTATTTGGCTTGCTGTGGAGGGTGGCGACACAGTATCAGCCATGATATTGACTACGCCTGTTTGTTCACTAATCCACCCTACTATGCGTCATCTCATTTATAGCGTCAGATATATCATCGGTTTCACCACACACTGTGTATTATTTCTTACTTCCTCTTTGTATTCTGTATATATATATATATATATATATATATATATATATATATATATATATATATATACTGTCAGTGTAATTCCCACGATGCTATATATATATATATTATTATTATTATTAGAAAAAAAGAAAAGGAGAAAAAGAAGTTAGAAAAAGGAAAGGTAGCGACAATAATACTTTTTGATGTATTATTTAAATATTCAAAAGTGGACTTGGGCAGATTTTGTCACGAGATAATCAGATATGCTATGACCTGTTCACACGAAGGAACTGACCCCAAAAGAAAGAAAGCTTCCACGTCACGTCATGCACGTAGCTTCTGAACGCACCCGTACTCCACGATGACCGCGTTGATAAGAAACGAGTTGCGGTTCACTTGCTTCAACGTGATAACGACGTGGCGGGAACAACTGTGCGCGCGAATAACCATAGAACCTGCATGCGGCGTCTCGATGACACTGACGTGACGTCGCAAGCTTCAGGTCGGCCCGTGCCGGTGCTCCAACACGGTGATATCGGGGACGTTATATTGCAATCCGTCTATTGATAGCTCGCATGTGACGTCATGGACACGCACCATGGCTCCAACATGGTGGCTTAGATGACGTCAGAGCAGCACGATCATGGGTCGATTAACCTTTCTTTATTTTGATAACGATGTCGCCGTAACGCTACTGGGCCTCCGTGTATGAATAGCAAGGAAACCAGAACGCGTGTAGTTGTACCATCAATGTGACGTCACAAAGTTCGTCTCGCTCCATGTTGGTGCTTCACTGTGGCTGTTTCAATGACGTCAGAGCAGGCTATATATAAATGGTAAGTGTGGCCTTGAACGACCGTGGTAAGAGCATTGATTGATTTGATTGATTGATTTGTGGGGTTTAACCTCCCAAAACTACTATTTGATTATGAGAGACGCCGTAGTGGAGGGCTCCGGAAATTTTGACCACCTGGGTCATGGTAAGAGAAGTGGCTCGACGAAAATCAAGAATATGCAGGAATAAAGGAGCAAGCTAACGCCACGCTTTATGAGTTGGAGATTTTAGGGAAAGTCCTTGGTCTTGTAGTGGACGTAATAAATGTGTAAATGGCTATGTACACAGATTATAGGTTAGGTTTATTACAGAGAAGGAGTGGGATAAGCCGGCGCATACGAGCTTGCTTCGAATTCTGCACAGAGTATCATGTTGAGGACGAAAGGTTGAAAACCAAACAGGGATAAAATATTGAGCCAACAAAAACTCAGTTTGTCGTAACAGTGTTTAAGACGATTGGGAGTGTAGAAGAGGGCAGCAGAGGTATAATGGCGGCTGAAATACATTACAAGACCGCGCAAGGCAATTTAATCAGTGTTGCTATGTCAGAGCTTCTCCAACTATACGTAGCGCTTCTTGGCGCTGCTCAGCGGGAAAAAAAAGAAAAACCTGAAAAACTTGGGTATTGATTTTTTGCTTGTTTTTTTAGGTTTTCGAAAAAAATATGAATGTTTTTCTCGGCGTTAAGCATAAATTCATCTTAAAGTACTCCCGATTTATATGGTGCGATTTCACCACTTGTGCAGTCAGCCAAATGTTTAGCTGTTGTGCATGAGTGGTAGTTTTTTTTTCTGTGTAATTTTGCCATACGACTCAATTACGTTTCAAAGATGGTGAGGTCAAGTGTATGCCAACAAAGCAAATGTCGACGTACGAAGCGATTTTTCGAAACTTCGTTCCATAATATTGCGTTCAGAGACAAAAAAATAGTCGCTGCGCACAATAGGTAAAGTTTTGGCCGACTCTGTGAGTCAGTTTTGAAGGAAGAGACAATTAGCGTTATCGTCCATGAACAGTGGGCTTGGCAATTTTTTCTTCCTTCCTGGATCTTCGGGAATGAAGACTGCGTTCTCAAAAGAAATGATATATATATATATATATATATATATATATATAATATATATTATATATATATCTTTGTACAACGTTAATCACACGCCCGTATTTCATGCGCATTTCAGAGTGATCATTGTTTGATGAAGTATCTCTATTATATTTGATTTATTATTGCAGTGTGCAGCCATCACTTCCAGTTATTCGAATATTCATTCTTAATCCCGCATATCTCTTAGTAAGCCTCAGTGTGCAAAAAGTGCAGGGCATGCTGTTTTTTTTAATAATGCTTTTCTCAATCGCACTGAAACCGATTTTCAATTTACATCACGACTTTGGCGTGCACTAATCAGGCCTTGACTTACGTTGTGATTCATTATTTTTCTGTGCTAAATTTATAGCCATCAGCGCAGGCTGTAAATAATCCCATAAAAACACATATCGGTTCCACAATGTTAATCACCACACTGCGTTAGGAAGTCGAACTTACCACCTTATTGAGAAACTGTCCTTGACTTGAACTTGAGTTGCCACCAAACAAGGCAGCGCGTTTGAAATGTGTTTGTGCTGCCTTGAAAGTGGTGGCAAGCGTAGCTCAGCGACCTATGCTTCCAAACCACGCATTGTATCTCTGTTGTGACTTCAAAAAAAAAAAAAAATATGTCAATGTGGAAATCTGGGGTGAAATAAACTTCAACTTCAGCTCACTCATCTATAGTCTTACTCGGACTCACTCAGACTATAGATCTAGCCACGAGTCTGACTCAGGGTGAGTCGGGGTGAGTAATGTTTTGGTAATTTTGATTGCGAATGAGTCCGGCTGAAGAAACTTTTTCTAGTGAGTGTGAGTCCGAGTTACACCGGCTGAAAAAAATTTTCGTGAGTCTTAGCCCGAGTGAGTATGAAGCTCAATATATATCTCATGAGTGAGCGTGAGTGAGCTCCGCAAATTTGGTCGACTTTTAAGGTGGCAAGACATCTTCATGTCAAGGAGCTTTTTTTTCCGAATACGGGGATTAGTTCTTCAAGAAGTTCTGCACGGAGGAGCTATCAACCCACGTAGGCAGCTTAACACGGCCGAGCAAATATAAGAAGATGTATGATAGACGCAAAGCTGCAACAAAGCACCAGCAACTGAACATCTCTTCAGTTATCCACTTTTTTACAAAACCGTATCGGTTGAGTACCGGCAACCACGCTCACAGAATACGCTCTGCGCCCAATTTACGAATGACGTGGATAACCGCCGCGGAGAATCGTGAGGGAGAAGGAACTAGGAAAGGGCGATGAATGAAAAAAAAAATATGCATACTAATATGAAATGGGCGAGGAGGACTCTGTGAGGAGGCCACAAGAAGAAAGGATGCAGCCTGTGAAAGAGCCGAGAACAGGGAGGGGGGGTTGCGCGTGGCATCAACGTAAGCCCCCCTCAGCGGGTGCCACAGCCACTCCCCCACCAAATCTTCTTCTCTCCCGCTTCGTCACCGTTTATCTCTCTTCTCAAAGCCGTTGCTGCCTGCTGCTTTATATTTGTTTCTCATCTTGCTTCGCCGGGCCACCCAACCAAGCCGGCGGCATCGGCAAGTGTTCCGTTTTCGCTACGTGTGCCCTCTTCTCGGCCGCAGTGCACGTCCTGCTACCGCGCGAAGCAGGCGAGCGAGTCAGGGACGAACGTCGGCGACGCTCGGTTTCTCGGCCAAGTTCAAGGCGGCACGCGGCGAAATCCGGCCAGCGTGTTTCTTCTGCGGCAAGCCGGCCGGGAATTCCCCCGCTTCTGTCGGGCCGACTCGATCCCTACGTCGAAAGTGGGGCTTCTCGTGATTCGGAACTTCGTTAACCCTCTGTAACTTGGACCCTGAAACTGGAACCAAACTTTGGTGCACATATCCGGAACACCATTCGTAATTCGGCTCCTGGTACTTCTGCTCTTCTGGTGCATCGAGCAAATCCTCTTGTTTCCTGTGGCGGCCCAGGCGAAACGGAACCCCAGCGACACTACAACGTTCTGCGGAATATTCCACAAACGGCCACGACGCGAAAGTGAACGCCGATTTCCAACCGAACGCTGGTGACAGTTCGGCAACGGTGGCGCAGTATTGTGCGTCTAGGACTTACGATCGAAGAGGGCTGCTGTTGCCACTCTCCTGACAAAAGTCTCAGCCTCTTCCATCCGTCATCTGTAACTGGCAACATTCACAAAACAAAAAAGAAAAGGTTGTCCTTTGCTTGCCATCGGGGAAACTACACCTGCAGATTTTTTTTTTATTCGTGATAAGAATTGCCTTTTGAGCGTCTACCAGCTTGCTACTGTGCTGTGCGCTTCTGGCTCGTCTGAAAAAACTCCATCCTTCTCGCGCGGGGCACTGGTGACGTGTCCCAGCTCCGCGACTGGCTCTTGGAACAGCATTCCTTCAGCTGTACGGGACCTTTCGCACATACCTGTGAGCTTCCTTCGCTCTCACGACCGTGCAAAACGCAGACAAAGAAGTCAGTCGTTTCATCTACCACCATAATGAGGTAGCAATCAAACGCCCAACTTCAAGTTCTACAACCGACTCCTGCCACGAGTGAAAAGCTCAGCCGACTAACTACCGCGGGGAGCTGAAGGGATTAGTGCCACCACGTAGTCTTCCTGCCCCTGTGATTGTTCCGAGACTGCGCAGTCGAGACATCGCCTGACGACGACTTGACTATTCCGGTTCTTCGGTTTGACGTTTCCTTTCTAGTGAAGCTCGGTGCCATCGCCGCCGTTTCTTTTTTTTTTTTGCACGAATTCATAGCTCAGAAGCGCGTTTTGTTTTGCTGTGTGCACGTGTTCTTGGAAAAGTGAACGAACCGTCGTTGCTGACGTGTGCGAGTGTGCGTCAAGCTCACGCCGAAGCTTTGAAATATATAGGCTACCATCTCGAAGACAATAAGGAGTCACGTGTTTTGGTTGCGGAATGCTCTAAGCAAACGTTGATGCGACGTGTGACACTGATTTTGTGATCAAAACTCTGTGCTTCAAACGAGCAACAATCGCACCAAGAACACGTTGAAACGGATTCCGGAAATAACTTTGCTATGAAAAGTGAACACTCGGCCTCTTGTAGAAATCCAATACCCTACCTTGAGAAAGTTAGTTTCACGTGAAACTGAAGAATTCATTCGCTATTGAAACATCTCAAGATGATGTAATCGCTGCGGTAATGTTTATTTCCATTAGGCAGTGCTTCGAGGAGGAGGAGGATTGAAAGAGGAAGGACAGGGAGGTGAATCGAAATATTGTTTGTGGTTAGGAGCTTCTGTTGACTTTGTTTCCTTTGGCCAATTTTTTGTGTTGCCAAGGGAAAAGCGTGTCCAAAAGTGCTTCTTCGAACAAGCGAAAGATTCCGCGCATAAATGTCGTTCTCGGTTGTTAAGACTCCCGTCGCATCAGTTCAATCAGTGCCCCACAACGAGCGCTCAAGGACAGCTCGTGAAAATTGAAGTAAATCCTACTAGTGTGCGGTAAACTGCTTGAGATACACTGCGTGTGTTGCTTGTGATTTTGTGCGTGTGTGTGAATTTCACTCTTGCGACGTTGAGAGAGCCTTCGCCATGGTGGCCTTGGATATACCGTTGGTGCCGGCTATCATTCCGTTCACGGCTTTTCTGTTCGTTCGGTTTGGTGAACGAATAGTGCCATACCAAAGCGAACACATACAGAAGGAGTACGACTACATCATCGGTGAGTTTCTCAGCTTTTTTTTTTCACCTGGTGCGGCTTGCAGAAATAGAAAGTAAATAGCAAACAATATACCTGCCATCTAACGGTCAGATCAATAGCATCGATGGTTACAAGGGTGTTTCCTTACTATTGATTATTGCGACAGACATCGTCACAAAGACTTGCCAGTCAGCTCGCAATTCAAGTGGGTCCGTTTTTGAGAGCTTTCTAGCTCAAGCTTCCAAGTGAAACTTTGTTGCTGAAGGAGTCGTCTGCTCGAGTTACAAAAAGGACACTCGCCCACAATGCCTCCCTACCCCGTGGCCACAGCAACAATTCCCCCCCCCCCCTTGCGCACACAATACACACCTGCATTCCCACCCTTCCCCACTGACAAGCAATTACTCCCCTTCCCCCGAAGTCAAATTCCTGCCAACAACCAACGCTTCCACTAAACAAACGAAAAAAAAATGCAGAGCTCTGGGAAACAAGGCAACCCACCTGGGGTGGCGTTCAAGTGCATCTTTTCTGCATTTCATCAGCATCACCCACCCTTCCCTTCCGCTGCTCCCACCTTCAAGTTTCAAGCATAACTTCCCATTCTCCTACTTCTCAGGCCAAGGAGTACTCGGCTAAGCGCGCACATTTTGCCAAATATTTTTCGCTTAAGAGCATCGTGCCCCTTCGTATTACGTGCAAAAAATATTAATAACTATAATTGACCTCGTAACCTGCTGTACTATGTAGTACTTATGTCCTGGTATATATTCTGATGGCTCTACGACATTTTTTTTTATTTCACCCTTGCTGAGCTTTAATATATACCTTCTTCATGACGGAGGGCAGGACGGGACAGGAGTTAATGCCGTCCCCACCTCCCCAGACCCGAACGAAAGTGCCGGACTTTTAATAAATTTTATTCATCAATTCACATGCAGTATGCACTTTATGACGTAAACGTGCTCAAGCGATTAAGCCTTACTTGTATAAGCCACCCTTCCATGACGACATCTTTTTTGCTAGTATTACACGGCATCAAGTGCCGCATGTCGCTAAAATTAGCTTGTTCACGCTGCACACGCACAGAGCGTTGCAGCAATTCTTAGAGCAATACAACGGCCGGGCTATAGACTGCACCTGCACGCTCACAGGGTCAGAGCGTGCAGGTGCAGTCGTGCCAGGCTGTGTCAATACATAGAGGCTACCTTACTGTATTCTCGTCAGGGACCAGAGGATGTTGCACAGCCCTTATTAACTGCTTAAGCACTGCGGGTAATGGTCGCCAAGGGTATACCATGAAAATGAGACGTTCACAAAACACTCATATTTGCTCAAGCATCTATGCACCTTTTCCCTCTTCTATGAACCTTTCCAACGGAGACTCCCTGTGTGCTGCTGAAATCCCCGGAGGACAGTTGTAAATGTGCGTTACCTACCAAAAAAAGAATGAAGATTTCACTGTCGGGCCCGCTTTTTCGTCTCCTACGTACTAGGCTATGTGTTTCGCTTGTCCTCCTGTCACATCTCGAAAACTTCACCGACGGTCTTTCGAAAGTCAGAGTACGGAACACAAGCAAATATACTCTTCGCGTATATTTTCTTCTTCATTATACCTGTCCTTGACCATGACTGACCACTGAGCAAAGCCCACCGTGTCTCAAGAGGAAGTCGTCTTCATAACGGTCAAAGAATGCCCGCTTGAAGCGACCTTTGTGGCTGTTTTTTTTTTTTTCGCTGCAGTGTCGACATGAAAGGGGGGAGGACCTCCTGTTGAGTTTAAGCGCGCCTAATGACGTCGGCACGAAGGGAGTCAGATAGAGGCGCGCGCAAAAAGGCTTCCGTCTTGCCTCTGTGTTTTGTTTTGTTTTTCCTATTCCTCGTCCCTTTTTCTATGCCACTCTCAATCCTTTCTCGCGTGCTCTTGCAGTTTCAATGTCTAGGCCACGCACCTCGCAAGAGTTATGACACAGGAGTCAACGACCACAACGACGCATTCTTTTATCCTTCGCGGTCTGCTTGCATCTGCCGACTAAGTGGATACATTTGAGAAATACAGTATTTCGAGAACACTGATAGCTGAGTACCCTCTAATATACGTGGTAGGAAGAAACCCGACCTCGTGTGCTACTTTTAGCGCTGTTTTTTTAGTGTTACCAAAGTTCCATTGCATCACCTGGAATACACTTACGATGGGCGCACTATGCGAAGCATGAGTATGATGTTCGCAGCTTTCTAATTGCCTTATCCGCTGTGTTTTAGTAAATGACTGTCTGTATACTACGTTTAAAGGGAAACAATGACGGTAGCAAATGACCTCAAAGTACATTGACACGCACGTGCAACAAGGTCAATGTCCATGTGTCATATTTCTCGTGCTGAAACATTGCTCGTGGCTTTAAGCAACACCGATAATACTACTGCGATATGTATTTTATTTATTTATTTATTTATTTATTTATTTATTTATTTATCATATACTGCGAACCATTTAAGGTCCAAGCAGGAAAGGTACAGCAAGTTCAAAGGTAAAATAAAAGTACAACAAAGTTACAACAAAATTGATACTGGTACACACGAAATCTAAGAAAAAACATAGCAATCACCATCAAATTATACTCGTTTCCAGAGGGCTGAGTACACCCACTGCAACACAATCCATAAGCAAAGCACCACACTCTTAGGCACACAACAAATCGTTAAATCAAACAAGTATTGTGAAAGCCAGGAAACACAAGGCGCATTTCATGGTGAAAAGGAAAGAAGAGTAGAGTTTCGGGGCAACGAATTCCACTCAGAGATTGATTTCGGGGAAAAAGAGTGTTTGTAAAAATTAGTGCTTGCGAAAATTGGCTTGATGCTACAGCTGTGTTTGTGACGGGAAGGCCTGGAAGAATTCTTTACCATGTAGTTTTCTGGCTTTATTTCGAGTTTAGAAAAATATATTAGACGGAGTAAGTTAAGTCGAGCAGCTCGTCGTCTGTCCTCAAGAGGTTCAAGATTTACCAACTGCAACATCGCAGAGGGGGAATCGCGGCGTCTATACCTACTGTAAATAAAACGGCGCGGCGTCTATACCTACTGTAAATAAATGTATATAAGCCCGTCATTTCAGTTGTACACGTTCAGCGATTTTCAAACCCTTGAAATATGAATTTAAGCTCACATTTTATATACTGCAAAGCATATTGCTCACAACTCGGTTACTACGATAAGTTTCAGATGTACTTCCATGCAACAACAAGTGCGTGTCTGAAGTTTTATATACGAGGTGTTTCATGGTGAGCTTATACTTCGTTCAAAAATTATATCACAATAACAATATACGCACACCAAAACCGTCATACACATACATTGCAACATGGCTCACTAACGTCAATCAGTAGCCCTTCTTACCGCTTCACTTTTTGCTGAGGATACGCTCCAACACAAAGGAAATATTTTGAATCGCCTGTTTCTGAAGTGAACGTTTCGTGGCAGCCTGCATATTGGTTCAGAAATTTCTGGGCGCAATTTATATACACGTATCGCTTCGTCCATCGCAATCTGGTCCAGTCTCATTTCCGATGGAGGCGGAATTGTTGTAGGCCCGTGTGCTCAGATTTGGGTGCACGTTAAAGAGCCCCAGGTGGTCTAAATTTCCGGAGCCCTCCACTACGGCGTCTCTCATAATCATATACTGGTTTTAGGACGTTAAACCCCACATATCAATCAAGCTGGTCCAGTCTACGAGCATATATTGCGTAACGGGAAAAAATGTTACACGTATCTTAGCCCCTTCGCTTGTGAATGGGGTGTGATTTTTGTCGGTCATCAGGACTTGTCACCTTACCCACCCGTATTTCTTTCATGAACGCATGCAATACAACCGCTAATTCACCGACACAGCACACATTTGTGCAATACATGTCTTTACGTACTCCTTCAGCCAAATATGTGGATAACTTGAAAAGATTGGTGTGTGTATAACGTAATCTTGTCTTATACTTATGTGTGTCCGTTGTGCGTTTTTTTTTTCCTCAGAATGAGCTCAATGTCAGCGAAAATATTCAATAAGAGCACACACTACAGATGCTTGCTAACAATGGGGCAATCAGGCAATGAAAGATTTTTTTCTAGAAAGTCAATTTCATTCGAATCACTTTTAGCTCGGGGTACCATGCAAGTTGTCGTTTTTTATACCTGAGCTTATTGTCTTCGTTATCCTGTTTAGAATTATTCCTAATTATTCGTGGACGGTTTTTGGATATTCAGCCTCAACCCTACGAAGACATACACGGCACAAGCATAGTAGACCAAGTGCTTCACCCTCGTCTCTTGTGTCTACTTCCTTGATCACTTTGGCGAGTTCTGCATAAGTCCCAACCATCTGTTGCGCAAGTTACCATGATGTCAGGAGACGGCAATGCAGATCATAGGCGACACGTGTCACTGTCCATATGTTCATCTCTTTCCAACCAGTCTTAGCCAAACTTATTATAGTGAACTGCACTGGCTTATATGAAACACACATTGGGGGCAAAAACATTGTTGTACGCGAACTTAGTGATGCCACGTTAGTCTTGTAAATGCATCGCATGCTGGCTGCTTCCTTATTATATGGCCAGACGTACAATAACGTTCCATTGACGCTGTTATCACACTAAAGCCGATTAATTGCCGCGTGATTACGCTGACCCAACGTAATCTAAGCCACCATGTTGGAACCATATCGGTCATTTATGACGTCACGTGTAAACATGAACACTTTTTTGTTTTACACTCCTTGCGTGGGGCACACGGAATGAGAGCACCTATATCATTGATGCGGCGTACGCCCGGGGCATTCTTATTAAGTTCGAGGTCGGCCAGGCAGGGCATGCGATGACCCGATACGCAATACAGCACGATCGCCCGTCCGTTCGAGACGCTTCCACAACACGGAAGAAGGAAAACCGAAAAAAATACTTGCTCTCCTATGCATGTATATATGCGCCTGTCTTACCGTAGGTGTATATGGAAAGCCGTTGTTTCGGTATGAACAT